CAGAACAGCAGGTGACGGATATGCAGATGCGGGCCTGGCAGGAAGGAGACGTCCGTGCGCGGCAGATGGATGGAGGAGCTCAATCATTCTCAGGCGCGAGCCCGGCCCCGCACGCGGCCCTGTCTGCTCTGGCACCGGCCGCCCCTCGCTCACCTGCAGGGCACGGCCTTCCACCCCCAGAGGCTCTCTGCGCTGGGCCCACGCCAGGGCAGGGCCCGGGCAGGGATAGCAGCAGGGTCTGAGGGAGAAGCCATCTGCTGCCAGCGGGTCTCCCGGGGGACCGATGGCCAGTGGGCTTGTCTCGCTTTTTCTTCTTTCTTGGCTTCCCAAAACACTCCCCTTTTGTGCTCTTTGAAGCGCTTTCCCCGGAGGAAGGCCCGTGCTGCTGGTGTGACCCGCTGGCCCAGGCCTGCGGTAGGACCAAGGACAGAGGGATTCCGGTGCCAAAAACCAGGACGGCCCTGCGCAAAGCGACCTGATGGCCATCCTACTCAGCAGCCGCTGTCCACACCTCCTCTTCCTCCTCACCGTCAGTGAGAGAGATCCCAGGTCAGCCGACTCTGCCAAAGCTCAGGGCGGAGCACAACTCCTCACACAGGTCACTCCAACGGCGAGGAGCGTCCTCAGAGGATCGCACCAACCAGACTTGTCTCAGAACAGGCGTGTCTCTTAAACGTGTCCACGCTGCACAGGGCTCAGTCACCCCAGCGAACAGGAATGAACCTCAACGATCCACGAGCCACATCTCGTTAATAAAGAGTCAGGAGGGCCAGGCAGCCGCGCAGCACGAGGCTGCGCCTTCCAGCTCAGCCGCAGGAGCTTCTGGGACGAGGAAATGGGCCACAAGGAAGCTGGGGTGGCAGCTGGCAAGGTCTCGGTCTCCCTCCCTCACCCCCACCCCTGCCCAGCTATCTGCTGGACCCAGGGTCTAGAAAAAGCCGCGTTACATAAAGATGGCCTGCTTCATAAGACACATTAAAGAATTAGTTATAAAGTAAAGCTGAAGGAGAAAATTAATTTTAGAAACACATGAGGTTACAGTTTTGTTTTTTTGTCCTGGAGATGGGGGAGGAAACACAGTTATTTTCGTTTTCATCCTGGGGGCACAAGCTGGGAGCTGTCCAGTCGATAACCTGGCCATCAGAACAAGGTTTGTAATTAAAAGGTCAGTGACCTGGAAAGTCAGGGCCCCACTCCCAGAGCTTCTCAGTAATGACGGAGCTATTAAATTAAGACTGTTATGAAATCAATGCTAAAAAAGCTTTCATGGTAACGAGATTCCATTCAAGGACATGCAAACTACCTCATGAAATGGACGTAAATGATAAAAAAGAAAAGTAATAGAAGAGAGTTAAATTGAAACCTGTGTAAGAATTTACTCCCCCTTAAAACACTCCAGTGAGAGAAGCCCCTCACCTCTACCCCACAGCCAAGGTTGAGACCGTGAGGTTTCATCCTCAAGTTCATTTCCAGCAAGGAGGCAGTTTTGCTATTGGAGGTTCTGCTTCCAGGAACAGAGAAAGATAAGATCTGATTTCACCTTTTAGAATCAGAAAGAGTGGTGGGGATTTGTTTGTTTAGTTCTCCTTGTCCTCTGGCCTGCTTATTACATGACAGAGAACCAGCCTTTGCTTATAACTTGAGAAGGACGTGAGAAGCCCTGGCGTCAGCCCACAGCCAGGCCTCTCCTGCAACATTACATAGAAAATCGCAAGTGCTCATCGTTTTTCTAGAAGCCTGCTTGGCAGCAGACACCTTAGGGTAAGCTAACAAACAACTCGGCCTCGGCCCACCTCACCTCGGCCTTGGTCCTCCACAAACGGACCTCGCTGGTGCCCACCTTACACCCGGGCCTGTCATGCAAGTCGGGCAGACCACCTCCTACTTCTGAGGTGGGAGAAGGTGTCAGCAGAAGCCTATTGACCGTGATGTCCGAGCCGCTGACTTTCTGCTGTTTTAATGTTACAGTGACCTCCTGAGCACCGCCTACTCCAGCCCGGGCCTGAAGCTGCTACCACTGAGACAGTCCTGTGTGGGCTGCGCCCCAGCACGGCAGCCTTCGTGTGGGGCTGGCTCCGTCTGCCGAACCAAGTGTTTGGGGGAAACAAAAACACTTATTCGAGTACTCTGAAGGTGAGCAGCTGTTCTTCTCTTTCATCTAAAAAAATTCCGGTAAAAGAAAGAAATGTTGTAAATTACACAAAACAGCAGTGCAAACTTCAAGGAAAATGATAAATGATTCTAATAACTTCATGTTTCTCATTAATGACTTCACATTCAGACTTTAAAGCATCCAAAGCCATCTGAAAAACACCAACACAAAACACAAAAGACCCCTGGAAACGAGTGCCCTCGTCCGGGTGCCCCTTGCGGCCCACTGGCCCTCCGCGGCCTCCCGGGCGGACGTGGACGTGTCAGCAGCGGAGGCGGGACGCAGCCCCGCTCGCGGCTGTGGCTTCCCAATAAAACAAACTCAGCTGAGACGCCTAAAGTAACCCTCATTTTCTACTGAACTGACATGCACTACAGGGACCTCAATTTCTATATTAAATATTAAATAATATTAAAAGAAAAACAAAATTGGATTTGCCTTTTCAGGAAAGAGATGTTTATTAAAAAAAAGAAAGTCAAGATTATAATTCAAGTCAGTGCTGCACTGCAATTCCCTGAAGTGACATCTGCTAGGAAGAGCCAGGCTCCAGTCGCCACGCCGTCCTGGGGGGCACGTGTGGGTGCCAGCCTGGGCCCTCCTCTCCCGACACGCCAGCCGCTCGCCTGCCTTCCCGCTGGCTGGCTTTAACGGCCGGTGGATGCCACTTCTCAGCTCGTGCCCCCTCCTCCCCCCGCCACCGACAGTGCCCAGGCAAGCTGGCTGTACATGCCAGACCCACAGGACAGCCAGAAATTTAAAAAGTGAAGTTTAAATCCACGATGGGGCTCTTCTTCTCCAGACGCCAATCAAACCCTGGAATTCGCTGCCCAGATAAGGTCCTGCCAAAACTCACCCTGTTGGGACTCAACTCGGAAGTGGATAATGACTGAGCAGCGCTGCAGAGGGTAATGGAGAGGGGTGATTAAGCCCAGAGACTCCCAGCTTAACTGTAAGGTTAATGCCTGTGGTTCTTTCCGAGGAAGAGGGGGTGTGCCTCTTAAGGCACCTCCTGCCTAAAACTCCCCCAAACGCTGACCACAGTAGGGAGCAGGGCAGTGCGTGTCCACTCACGCCACCTCACGCCCCGCAGGTCCTGGCTCACACGGCACCCTCTCCAGGAGACACGCTCCACCCAGCCACTTGCTCAAATGTGCACGCCACCCTGTGCCGACACCCCAACACTGGCACCCCTCCCCTCTACAGCTTCACCTTTCTCCACAGCACCCAGCCCACTTAGCACTGTTACTGTCACGACTGTGAACTGCCTGCCTTCCCCTGCAGAACGTAAGCTCCTCGCAGACAGGGCCTTTGCCTGTCCTGCTCTCGCTGGGGCCCCAGGGCTGGCACAGGGCACAGCACTGGGCAACGGTCACTTGGAGGTGAGTGGATGAATGGGCTGGGTATTTTTTCAAGAGCACAAATAACTGCGCAAAAACAGTTTTCTCTCTGCAGCAATTATTAGCCAACTAACTCAAAAGAAGTATTATTTGGTCCAGAGTTTCTCTCTCTCTTTCTCCTCTTCTCCTCTCCCAGTCAGGGATTTATTAAAATTAAACAGATTAGATGAAGCTCCTGATACTAAAACTGCTCAGCAAAGCCTGCGGTGGGGATGTGCCGAGCAAACACCAGAGACATTTGTCTCTAAATTGCTCTAAATACCTTCTGCAAATGAAATTCTAACCCAGCTGCGTTTGAGAGAAAATGAGGAATAACTGGTCATTGTCAGTGGCAGAGAAGATCAGGCGGTTATAATATTGCACAATATGCCGGGCGCAGGACCTCTCGGCAACCATAGATTCTGTCTCAGGTTACCCTGGGTAATCAGCACAGCTTTTAGGCTCAGCTTTCCCCAGCTCCAGTGCTTTGATGAGAGAGCTGAAATCCCCAAGCTTTTATGATTAATTACTCCCCATAGGTACACATATTTCAAGGAAAAACTCTTTTATGGCACGATGCTTGCGAGTGGAGAGGCCAGCCAACGCACTCCAAATTTTAATAATCTGCTGCTGATGGGGGGCCAGCTGGAGGCCGCCAGCCAGCGCTCAGTGCCCCCCCAACCCAGCCTGGGGCCGGCCTGGAGGCGGCCTCACACCGCTGCCTGTGAGTGGCACGGGGCTGCTCTGCCCACAGCCCACGAGGGCAGCCCTGGCACGGGGACGTGGAGCTCAGGTGGGTGCCATGGAGCAGGCCTGTGAGTCTGCGTAACCACCCCATGCGGACTGCAGCTGCAAGTGACGCACATTTCAAAACCCAGAGTCTTCTTGGGCTGATGTTCCCAGTCTGAAAGGTAAAGTAATTGGGGAGGTGGGGGATTCAATTTCCCCACATCACACATAAGAGCCTGCAACAATGTCCTAGATCTCTAGAAAGTGAAACACTCTAAGAATGAAAAGCCAGGTTTCTTGTTTTGGAGCTTTTTCGTATTTTACAAAAATAGAGAAATACCCTAAATTTCAGCAGTGCCAGAATAGATTCTGCCTTGGAGAATATTGAATTTGTCAAAATCCATTTGATCCTTGCTTGCAGAAATACCATAAACCAGTAATTTACCACTTCAATCTGTAAATCAGACTGACCCCGAGCTTGACCTTAACCTGACCTGTTCAGTCATCTCATTTGCCCCCGTCCTTCATTTCTTTCTTCCTCATTCGTTACTGAGGCAGCTGGCCTCCCACCTAAAGCCATCACTCGCAGCAGCGACATGCTCATAGGGGCCAGAAAGCAGAAGCCTCGCCCAGGGCCCTGCGCTGCGCCCTGGGGAACTCTTCAGCCCAGCCCGCCAGCGTCATGGCGGCGGAGGCCCTCTGCCATCCTGACCTCAGCAACCTCTCGGCCAGAGGAACCGTACCTTTCTTCTTAAGGAATGCTCTCCTGGTGGCAAGCGGGCTCTGGCGGACCCGGGAATTCTGGAGAAACTTCACTGCTGTGGCAATCTGGTGGAGAGAGAAGCAAGGAAGAAAGTAAACTTCAATAGTCAGAGCTTCCAGATTAAAAAACTACAAGTTTCCACCGAGGTCACGGGAATAAGCCCACCGCGCGGCCCACATGCCAGCCAGCTGCAGGAGAGGCGGGCGCTGGTCCTGCCTGCTGCTTCCGGCCGCTGACGCTATCAGCCCACGCCTGCAGTCTAGTTCTTAGGACGCGCGGTCACGTCTCCTTCGGCCTGTTCAAGCTGACTTCTCCTCCTGCTGGGGAGCTGGCCCTCTGGTCACCCTCATCCACGTCACGGCACTTGTGTCCACGCTACACCTATTTTCTGCAAGGCTGCCGTTTCCTGCCGCTGGCTGTCTCCACTTGGCCCATGCCCCGCACTCACCAGCACGGCCCTCTGACAGCCTGTCCACCTCCTCAAGCCTCCCCTGAGTGAGGAAGCCACTCCTGTCTCCTGCTCGCTGATCCTCCGTGCACACAGTGTGGGCCACATAGCTGGAGACATAACTGCACTGTCTCCTGAGGCTCAGGCCACCTCCCAACTACACCGCCGGCATGTGAGGGGCACAGCCCCTGCAGGTGGCACCAGAGGCGGGGCACAGCGGAGCTGAGCCCTGAGGCGCCTCCAGAGCACAAAGCCTGGGGTTTCGTGGTCAAAAGCTGGCGGAGTGACATTCTCGGCCTACCTCTGGTGACATTACCTAATGAAATCTGCCCACCTACAGCCAAGCCAAAGAGAAGACAGGAGAGAAGCTAGTGAGGGCATTAACTTCCCATCACTCAGCACACACCTGCTGCCTGGCTGCCCCCGCGGCCTGCCCTCCATCCTGGCGCTAGTCCGGCAGGTGGGAAGTGCCAACCTGCCCCACGTAGCAAGGGCTGTCTGGGGACTGGCACTATTCATCCGAACAAAACCAAAAGAATAATGCGGTCTCATGTTACAGCTAAAGTCAACAGGCCCTACAGATCACTCCTAGGTTGTTGAAAGAAGACATTTCTAAGAGAGTGCCAAACAAGGGAGCCTGCTAAGATCCTTCAAATCAAGGTCACAGTGAGACAGAGATTCGCACCGCGAATGCACGTGGAATCTGAGTTCCCAACTTCCCCTTCGTGTCCTACATGAATTTGATCTTGAGACCTGACAGCCTTCTCCCATAACAAAAGCTATGAGAACAAAGCAGAACGAAGAGAGGGAACATCAGGGCCACTGCGTTTGATGGTCTCTCGGTGGGGCTCACCCAAGGCTGGAGGCACCCCCGGCGCCCAGACCAGGCCTCTCAGGTAAGGCACGCCAGCACGCCTCGAGACTGGTCATCGTGTGTCCCTACGAGCCTCTTAGCCATCCTGAATCGCACTGATAACCAACATGTTCTGGGCTAGAGAAACTCAATGCTGGAGGTTCCAGAACCCCAAAACAACAAACTCCCCCCAGGGGGCTGCACCCAAATCAAGAACAATCTGACTAAACATCCCCAAAAGGCCACCTTTTAATGAAGAAATGGGAGAGGGAAGAGGAAGGAAAGAAGAGGGGAGGAAAAAAAGAACGGGGTGGGGGGTGAGGAGGGAGAGAGGGAAGGAAAAGGAGACAATTGGGAAGAGGAGAAAGCAGAAGAGAATCAACAGAAAGGGGAGGAGAAAAGAAAGGCTAGGAGAAGTGAGAGAGGGAAGTAGCAGAGGAAGAAAGAAAAAGGCTCTCTTGGTCAGCTCAGGAGAGGGTGGACGGGCACGCGGCCGCCGGCCAGCACCAGACGGACAGCTCAGACAGCTGGGGGTAATGACGGTCCCTCACGCGGGGGGACCCTCCACAGGCGAGAGCAGGACAGCGCCACACCGAGGTGTGCGGACCAGCAGCCACGGGCGTGGGGCGCAGGTCTGAGCCCCCGAGGCCAGAGGCGCAGCCCTCCTCTCCGGCACTGCAGACAGCAGCGTGTCATGTCCCTCATCCTTCCAAAATTTTCCATGACAGAGAAAGAAAACAGAATCCCACCACTAAAACGCCCAGGTTTCACCTTGCTTTTTTAATATAGTCCTTGGTATATGCATTTCTGGTCAGAGAGCAAAGTTCTGATGGGTTTAATGGTGCACTCAATGCAGTGCTTGGCGCATTCCATCAATTTTTTTTTTAAAAATTGCATCTCTTATTTCTTTAAATACATTAATCAGCCTAGTGTAGGCAAAACGGATCCATCGGACAATGCAATAAACATGAATTATCATCTATCCAACACGCATAATGGCTTAAAAATACATAATAGCAGGTGTAGTTTAAATGATTAGTTATTACACCTGTGGTGGGTCTGATTCAATTGGGAAAAATCATCTTTAATAGGTTAAAAGGTTTAGATCACCATGCTTTCCTTAAAGTGGCTGTGGAGAGGGAATGATGGAGTGCTCTGTCATTAGTAATTCATTTAAGAAAAACGTGGGGGATATAGCAAAGAACAGCATAAACGAGCGAATCCAATTTAAACATCAGGTAAAGTAGAAAACACCTTTTAAAAAAGCAAGATAAATGAATTTGGAAGGGAGATGAAATTGACGTATTTATTTTAACGGGAATTTGACAAAGTCCCGGCACACTTCAAACTTGCAAAAATATGAACAATTTCTTTTAAAGTTTCCATTCACTAATTTCAAGCCATATAAAATAATACTGCCAAACACCTACATAAAGTGTATCCGGGACTTGTTTATGTTCCTCTTGATCTGTCTGAAAATGCAGGCGACAGGCAAATCACATATTTAACAGCAAGGATATCACTACGCCAGGTGCAAAAAATATAAAGCCGCCAAAGCAACAGCCGCAACGCGATGTGCTGCATAAGAAAGCGACCAGCGAGGCTCTGCGCGTGCGTGTGAACGTGAGATCTTCCTCGTCCGTTCGCTAATTATTTCTTCATTTGCCCCTCACACTTCTCCTCCCTCCGCAAGAGGAGCTGGCCTGGCACCCAACAGGGGCGGGGCAGGGGAAGAGCCTGTTCAGTCTGGGCCCCCACAGCCCTCAGATTCACACGCAGTGGTGACAGACGCCCCAGTCTCCCCCATAACGCGCGGACCGTTGCGCACCGAGGACCTGAGCGTTGGGTCTGCGGCCCCCTGCGCCCACCGTCAGAGCCCTTCCTCCCTCCCGCCTTGCGGGAGGAAGGGAAGGGGCGCTGCAGCCTGGCCTGCCCTGGCCTTGGATTCTCTAATTAGGAGATGAATGTGACTATTCATGGGTTTTATCTGTGCCCAACTAAATTACACAAATTAGGGCCAAATCTTTCGCATCTACGTCAAAGACGTAAAGCGGGCCAGGAAGTTGCGGAGGCCACCGCGGGAGTGAGTTCAGCCAGCCTGGGCATCCTGGGCACCTGCCTGGCTGCGGCACCCGCGATAAACATGCGGCTGGCGGTCCTCGAGCCAGCCCGTTGCTACGAGCTGGTTTCATAAAAATAAGAGACTTCGATGAACTCAGAAGAAAACAGGAGCAAAGTTTCTCACCACCCCATTCCTGTGGCCCTGCCTTCTGCCTGCGTCCCCTCAAAAGCAAAACAAAACAGCAGGGCTGCAATCAACTCCATTCACACGTCTGAGGAAATTTGATCATGGAAAGTCAGATGCAAAACTGAAGTGCCAAGAGGAGTAAAGGGTTACACTGGAGGAAGCTGGCGACCCAGCAAGAGAGGGGGGTCTGCAGGGCAAAGCGCACCTTTGGGTCCCACGCGATTGGCCAATTGAGCGAGATTTGTGTTTGAGGGCTGGGACCTGGAACTGCATAAATCAGTGGAATACAGTGTACTCAGGGGCGGCCCAGGATGGACTATGTGCTGTTAAATGCACTGTGTAGGGTGAGTAACGCCTGGTGAGAAGACCCGAGGTTCCTGCGTTCCCCACTGAAGAGGCGCTCGCTGCCTGCGTGCCCGGCTCCCCGACAGAAGACCTGCCCGCTCACACTTGATCTGTCCCACGAGGCCACGGGAGGGCGGCGCTTCCTGATCACGAGCCTGGGCTGTGAGGCGCCTGACACGTAAACCTGACGCATCACCTCGGGGACGCTTATCTGGACCACCACCAACTCCAGCGTGCCGACGTGCTACCCCCCCGATCTCCTCAAATGGGTGCATTCGTTAGCCACTTTAAAACATTAAAAAATATTCAAATATTAAAGACACTAATAACCAAAGTCAAGTCCGTTTTAACCCAGCGCGATCACAAGTAGAGGGCAAAAGAAAGTGACCGGCGCAAGGGCCCGAAACCCATCCCCAGGCACTGCGGCGGCACAAGCACAGCTCAGAGATTAAATTGCCTGTGAAAGGTCCCTCCGCTCGGACTCTGAAGTAGATGGATACCCAGAACCCTGTTAACAAGCGTTAGACCAGAGCCAGCTGGAGTTTTAACAAGGGCTGGCTTTAAAAGCAGGCCTTGCTGAGGCTGAGACCCTCTTCAAGCAGAAATGCTGCATTTTAGTAAGAAATCAGTACTCTGTCAGGAGTTCCTTGACAAATATGGTCATCGGTGGCACAAGGAAATAGTTGCAAAGCAGCTGTTAATCAGAAAAACACGTCGCAGAACGCTGATGCTAGCACTCGTGAAAAAATGCAGCGGGCTAATTATGAAGCTATATATCTCACTAAAGAGGCTGTGTTCCTTGCGATTCCAGGCAAAGCCCTCTCAGATCCAGGGTCGCAGGACGACGTAAGTCTGGCTTCTGCAGCCAGAAACCTCTCGAAGCCGCAGCGCACAGCCCCAGGCTCTGCTCTTTCTCAGTGCTGCCTGCCCTCTTCCCAGCTCCGGACAGGCTGAGCAGAGGGGCTTGCCTGGAAGCCGGGGCCAGCACAGGCCACTGCCCAAGACGCTGCGCCAATTAACTCCCAAAAGGTGTCAGATCCTAAGCCCCAGTCAAAGAAAAAGCAAGGTGCTTGCACAAGAAATGCAATGTCGCGGCTAGCATCACTGAGGGTGGCAGGACACGTGTGTGAGCTTCGATCACGAAGCGCTGGCTTCTGGCCCTCGCCCGCAG